AGTTGAGAAAACCACAAGTGAAAAGATGGATTTTGATATCTGCTTTGATTCCGCGGTGTCTGGGTGTTGATCTTTTGGGGAAATATTCAAAACACCCTTTGAAACATCTCTGCAAAGTTTGGTGTGCATCAGAGCTGATTTGGTTCAAAATCATCTTTTAGATGGAGGTTCTCGGGCTGCTGGAGCCTGTAGAATCATGCCAGTTCTAGAGGCAGCCAGGCTGTTTTGAATAGGACCAAAACCGGCTTGGCCGGTTTGAACAATACCAAAACAGGCTAGGGTACTTTCATTGTTCCATCGCGTTTTCGTGTCCTTTGGTTTGTTTTTCGCTTCCAGTTTTTTCCATTTTGTTCTCTAGTCTATCTCGAGTACATCTAGTCACCAGTTTGGCCTGTGCATGGACTCACATTGGAAGTTTTGGGGTTTTGAGCACTCTGGTAGGTTGCTTGGGACATAGGCTGTTTTCTCGTCGGAGAAATTTTATTTGGCTCCCATTCACCTCTCCTCTGGTCGCCTACTTGGTCTTCAATTGGTACCACAGTTGATTAATGATCAATCCACCTTAATCAGTTCTTGATTCATGAAGAAGACAATGGAGCACGGCAGTGTAAAGGCTTTGTGTTTTGATGCGAAGAACTACCCCTATTGGAAGATCCACATGTCTACTTACTCGCAAAGCATCAACTCTCCTATTTGGGACATCTGCTTGGATCAGGTTTACGTGGTTTTGGCTGCTCGGGTTGGTCAGATACAGATTGACCACCACCAACACCACCACCCTCAACCTCCCACCTCTCCCCACACAAAAACTATTTGTAATTGTCGACTTCACCCCTCACTTATAAATCCAGGTACTAATCTACCCCCTTAAACTACTAAAAACAATCTAAATAAGCCCCTAAGGCTGTTTTGAAAGTGGCTTCGCTGACGTGGCATATTAAAATGTCCTCAAAACTCCCTAACATATAAAAGGTCAACTATATAAACCTCTCAACAATAAAACCTGATATTGTAACCCTTAAGGCATCTAATAATGTTTAAGTGACACAATAGGTGGTCTTGTAGCGCTATTTTTTTACACCCTATCCTGCCATATTAGTCTAAGCACCCATGCTGGATGGAGACTGGAGTTGGTGCCCAAGGTTTTTTTTAGCAAGCTGGAATGGACCGTTGGTTTGCACTTTTTGCGATTAGCTTGACTAGACGACGTGGAGTTATTCTATGCTTCTATCTTTTTATACAATATTTTTTTTCAAAGTGCGAAAGCATTTTATAAATGAAAAGTAGTACCATAGTTCAACTTGCATATTAAAGACATTATTGTTTTCCAAAGTGACAGTGACGTACATAAATGAATAATCGATGTGTTTGGTGCAGACAGAACCTACTAGAGGTCGATGGTAAAAGCGTCATGTTAGGTACAAACGAGAATGCGAACACCATAATCTGCATACTTTTGTCTTTAGAGTTAAGATTCTCGTTCAGTAGCATTTTCAGCTTCGTGGTGACGTTCAAATAATATGCATTCAATGCCACTCAGCCAAACTCATCTGAGGAGAAGAATTGTAGGGGTTTTTTGAGCAAAAGAGTCACCCTTCTTTATATATCAGAATAAGAAATACATACTCCATCAGGAGGCGAAATAAACCAAATGGTTCTTCCTACCAAGAAATTAACATAGCTCCTAGCTAAGCAATGAGCATCAAATTAAATTGGAGCTTGTTCCTTCATGGACAAACTGAACTCTTGTTTCATGTTCTCGATCTCCTGGTGGATGCTTCTTATTGCGTTGACACAATAACTAACCACCCAGAATGTTTGGAGACCGAGATCGCTGGCTAGTGCCAGGCCCTTGCGGCACGCCACCACTTCAGCTATTTACGCGTCACTACAACCCTCCAGAACCAGTGCCGATGCCTTGCCATCTTCATCCCTGACAGTGGCGGATGCAGAACAGGATTGAAGGGGGTTGGTCTCTTCTTCTTCCTCTCTCTCTCTCTCTCTCCATTTTTCTTCTTTCCTCCACCTCTTCTTCTCCCTCACCCTCCCTATATTTCCACTGATGCACCAGCTGTAGGGGGGCTGGAGCCCCCCAGCCCCCCTTTAGATCTGCCCCTGATCCCTGGCCACAACAGACACCGAAGGCATGCTCGAGTTCTTAGAGGTCGCCGCGTCAACATTAATTTTCATAAAGCCTCTTGGCGGTTTAATCCAGCACATTGATGGGCTCCCCGCGACCGGCTTCTCCTTGTTCTTCGGCGTGATCGACTCCACAAAGCTATGAGTCGAGAACAAACTCTGGAATTTCAGCCCTTGGCGTTGCGCGTTCCAAATAGCCCAGAGTCTAACCACCACCATTGTGAGTTCCTCATGTTTGAGGACCTTCATCACCTTAGGTAGCCAAGCTCTAGCATTCGGTGTGTGTAGCTGACAAATAAACTCCATGATCTCCCCCTCTCCAGAGCCCAAACACACTTGGCCAGGTTGCACTCCAAAAGCGCATGCCTCCACGAGTCCATACCATCGCATAAAGAACATACCCATTAGGCGCCATGTTCTTGCGGTGAATAAATAATATGCGAACACCACAAATGCAACACTTTTCTTCAGGGATTCTGAACCTTAGACTAGATATAACCGGCCCAACCTTAGACTGGATAAACCGGACGGCCCAATACTTGGGCTGGATGGCCTAATATTTGGCCCAATCGTCTGATCCGGTCCTCACAGAGTGAGGGAGACCTCAGGACGGCTGACGACGCAGCTCTAAAACCTCTGGTACTCGAGGGCCAAGGAAACCTCTCCCGAGGATTCTGAACGAGCTCCAAGTACACCTTCAGGAGGCCAGCCCTGCAGGGAAATAGAAATCGGACAAGCACGAGGCGCCCAAACGATTGGAACCAAGAGTTTATGGCATGCCCCACGCCGTGTCGATAAAGATGTGTTCTTATACTAAGCACGAACGACACTCATTTTACCCGATAGTAGCCCGAAGGATGACATTCGCTACTGCCCAGCTGCAAACGCGTTAATCATTCGCTTGGTAGATCCAAACTGGAACTACTCGAATAGAAAAGGTCTACAAGGTCCACCATCTCTTCAGTAGAAGCATTAGCAGTCGAAAAATACCACCCGAAGGTTATCGGGCACAAGATAGTCGAACTGTCTTACTCCCTTCGTCCCTTAAAAAAAAGTCGCTACGGGAATTGTGTTAGTTAAACTTTCTCAAATTTGACCAGGCTTGTAGAAATTATGTGGAATATTTATATCTCCAGATAAGTTTATTATGGTAGTATATTCAACAATCTACCTAATGATACTAATTATGTACCATAAATATTAATATTTTGTTAAATATATTTGATCAAAGTTAAAAATTGTTGACTTTTTGGGAATCGAGAATGACTCTTTTTTGGGATAAAGAAAGTATGTCTACGCCTGCATTGCCTAGATATGGATACGAGTATCGGATATGATACGTATCGGAGGGATACGCGGATACACCATTCTCGAAAAATCAGTGACACGGATATACAGCTAGTACATAAATGACAAAACAATAGGAAGTTTAGTGAGTTCAATATATGTTTATTTAGGGGTGTCTATTTAAGTTAGAGAACTCATATACAAAAGATAAGAAACAAAACACATATACAATGAATAAAAAACTCGAGAGATGCACATCATGTATATTTATAAACAAACAAACATGCTACTTCGTATGAACGATTGATTTAAGAAAAACATGCTAGACCATTCAACGAGACAACGACGCCCGGCCTACGATGTCCTGTAGCAGCCGTGGAATGACACGATAGAAGAATGTAAATGGTGATGAGATGACACGTCTACGATTTTCTCGATCTTTCACAGTAGAGTAGCTAGCACAAATAAATAGTCTCTGAAGTTGATCTCAAGCAAACAACCATATAGAAAAAAAAATGTGGGCCAATAGTCTCTGAAGTTTAAATATGGGCCAGCAAGTATATCCAAGCGCAATTCAATATCCCGTGATAATTTATAGAATTGCTAGTCAATAGTGCACAGCAATTCGTCCTATTCGTTTGGGCTTGTTTAGCTTATAAGCCATGATACTGTTGGTTGATTTGGTGTGAGAGAAAAATACTATTCGTTGGCTTATAAGACATGGCTTATAAGCCAAATACGACTAAGCGACAGGCTGAAGAAACACAATGGCTATTGTTCACACCTGACGTGTCACGGCAGATAAAAATAAAGGTGACAATATTTTAATCGGCCAATAGTGCTGTAGTAGCAATTGCAATACGACTCACGACTACCAATTGTGAAGCAATCTCAGCGCACAGCTCCAGTTGGTATAAATAATAGATAGAGCTGATAAATCTCGCGGCAATTATATTTTCCAAATGAAATAATCTAGATGGTAAAAAGAACGGGACGACAAGCGCCCCACGTCCGGACGCGGCGTCCGTCCAGACACAGCCTACCATGGCCGTGTTCGGCTGGCTGGCTGCCGGCTGGCCAGCCACCTCACAAACTCACTGTTCACGTCCTACTAAAACAATATTTTCCTCTTATAACAATCAGTCAAAACAGTATTTATCAGTCCTATCGATCAGCCCCGTACCGGCACCCAACGCACGTAACACCCTTCGCCCCGCGCCAAATCTCGCTCAAGGCCGCATTCCAATTTCCATCTCTACCCGCTCCGATTTTGAATTCGATTGGGCCCACCGCGGGCCAGCCTGACACCCTAGCCCCACCATCTCCACCCGCAGCCGGCAGCCCCTCCGAATTCTCGCACCCCGCGGCCCGCGCTCCGAAATCGAATTCGTTCCCCTCCCCCCGCAGGCTCGCATCACGGCACGCCGGAGCCATCGCCGCCGCCTCGACCCCTCCGCGCGCCGCCTACACCCTGAGCTGGGCTTCCAGGTCCCAGCGCCCGCGCCGCTCGTTCGCCACCTGAGCCCCTCGCCGGCGGACCGCCCCCCTCACCCCTGCGGACACACGGGACCTCCATGGCCTCCACCGCTGCCGGTAAGTCCTCTTCCCCCGGCTCCATTCTAGTTTCTCCGCCCGTCCACGCCGCGCCATCTCAGCTTCGAGCTTCGGCCCATTGAACCAGGAGGAGGTGCGGCGCGCGTTGGCTTGAACCCTCCGCACCCGAACCCTAGCGGCGATGGCGGCCCTAAGCTCCGGTCGCCGCCGGGGAAAGGGAATAAGCCCGTTGCCCTCGCCGACATCACCAACACTGGGAAGCCCAACGCCGCCAGATCCATCACCGCCCAAGACCTCGTCAAGGTGAGCTTCGTCACTTTAGCTCCAACAATTCAACAGCCGTATCTAGGTTACTCATGCCATACCAGTTTGATTACGTTTTTTATCGGACAATCTATTCGGTGAGCTCGATATTTGCTTGCATTGTCGCAGGAGAACGGCAAGTTGATGACTCTGCTCAACGAGAAGACGTATGTTGCCTTGCCTCTCCATTCCCTCCTTGTTTGTTGCTGTAGATGTGTGGGTGTGAGTGGGGGACTTGCTATTTCTTTCCTAACTAATGTAGCTTAGCTTTCCTTCTCTGCAGGAAGATCATTGACCTCAGCAGGGTTGAGATATACAAGCTCCATCTTGCGCTGCAAGCATCGAAACAACAGAATCTACACCTTGCTCAAAACAATTCGCAGATGCTTGCGGTTTGTCTACATCTCCATCCACTCCGTTTCTCACCATGGATGCATTAACATTGATCTTTTACTCTTGTGTGCTGTTCCTTTGTTGGCAATCCAATTGAACAGCATGCTATCCTGCGAGTTATGCCTGTGCACCACAATAACACTATTTTTTAAAAAGGACAAGTGCTCAATTTTGGCAGTTCAGATACAGTTTTCCCCCAAATTATGCGTTGAGTTTAACTCCATTATGTTGGATGTGAAAAATTGAGTAAATTGTGTATGCCATCTTTTTACTTTATACTATTATACTATCTCTGATCCCAAATATAAGTTCATTTAGGTTTGTCTTAAATTAAGCGTTTTTAGCTTTGACTGTTAATAGCAAAAAAACAAAGAGACAAATAACATAAGGTTGACATAATAGATTCATCTGAATAATGTATAACTCTTTCTATTTAAAATATTATGTATTTATATATGTTATATTGGTCCAAGTGTCATATCGGACAGACGGAGACTGTGAATGTCCTAATGGACGTAGATCTACATTTAGGGTCAAAGCATTACACACATAGTGCTTATTTTGTGGTGCAAAATAGAGCACTGCCTAATATTTCTGTTCTGTGCTTCATTGCAGGAAATAAATGCAGGGAAAGATCGAGTAAGTTGTCAGATTCTTCTATGTTTTGGCATCCATTGATTATCAGTACTGAATATGGTGGTTATTGATTTCGTAATTTGAGGATATGATCTGCAGACTAAGATATTGCAGCACGAGCTTTCTTGTACAACAGCACTGCTTAAAGTAAAGGGTTCAGAGCTTGATGTAAGTAAGAGTATGGTTTAACTTGGCTTCTTTTTCATTATAGATTCCATGATTTTATACTTATATATGTTTGCAGAGAAATAAAAACGCTGCTAAAGGACAGCGAAAGGGAGTGAAAGCTCAGGTAGGTATTAAATGTGTAAGTAAAATGACTCACTTTGTTAATATACAACTTCTATAATTCTGAATTTTTTCCTTCTGTAATGGAATTAGGTCTTGAAAGGCACAGCTTCCATCCATAGTCGCAGGAGTTGACTCGGTAACCAGTGGTGTTGAACACCATTTGGTTGAATCTCAATGTAAATCTCACTCTATTCTCTTGTTTCATTTTGTGGATTTTTATTTTTCCATACTGCACTTCATGTCATCTGTGTTCAACATAAAGCATTGTATATTCTACGTCTTTATTGGCTTTGAGTCAGGCACTGTTAAGGTTCTAATTTTCACTTGATTCAATTTCTTCTCAGCTGCCGTATCATCAAATACCGTCTGCCTAGAGCCACCACAAGATGGAAAACAGAAGAGGTATATTTTATCTATTTACTAATGTTCGAGCTGCAACTGCATCTAAATCAAGATAGCATGATTTGGCCATGAGGTTGTTCTTGTTTATGGAATGTGTCTTTGCAGCAACACTATCTGATTGAAACTTTTTACTACTGTTGGTTAATTGTATGATCAGAATGCCTCAACGGAGAAGGTCTTCGAGACTGAACCAAGGTTCCTGTGAGATTGGCGGAGTATCTCAGAATACATTGCATGAGGACACTGTAGCGCCTCTAGCTCCTTCCACTTTAAGTGTTCAAAAACAGTATGGGCAAACCACTGGAAAACATATGGTAAGACTATTTCATATGTTTTGCTTCTCTAAAAGGATTAATTAATATTGGGTGGTTCTGATCTGTGTAATATTTGGTGATATACTGTGCAGGAGAAGTCACTGCAAAATGAGTGCAGTGCAACAGTGCATGAAGTGGTAATGGCTTCAGAATTCGAGGTACTATATGTCTATCTTGCAGTTTTATTCATCTTCTAGTCATTGATGTTAATTAATATGTTATCTTTTGACCCCTGGTGTCTGATCCTATCAGGAAACTGAGATAAATGAGCAACCACAAAAAACAAATTTGAAGGTATGGGGTGCATTTAATAACCAGTTAAAGATTAATAATGGAACCACTTGCAGATTTAATCTACTTGTTTCCTACAATGTAATTCAGGAGATACAGGAAGCATGTTCCAGGGAAGCTGGAGTTCAGTCTCATAAAATTGGTGATAAGGCCTTCAATAGTAAACAAAACCATTTGACAGGAAGTGAATGTAATGGCCCTCATCTTTCCATATTTTCAACATTTCTTATGTGCCACTTATTTATAGTTATCCAGTTAATTCCAGATGAAACAATTCCAATATCCAGTTTGAATTGATACATTCTGGTCTATTTCTTCTCCTAAGCATATTGTATGCTAGAAATTTAATCTTAAACCCCAAGGATAAATCCCAAGCACATGCTAATTGCTGCAGCTTTTTCTGAACACAGAATTTGAAGAATTATTAATCTTCACCCAATTACAATTCTTTTACAGCATCTTTGTCATTCAATACCATTGACCCCCCCGAGCCACCAGAAGACAACGCTATGAAGCGGTAAGGATCATCCTTTTCATTGTTGTTTAAGATGCAATTGTAGCCAGAATTGAGAAAACTGGTAAATTGCTGGGATGGCTCAAACTGTCTGGTCTGGTTTTCACCCCCAAAGGGCCTTTAACAGGATTTATTTTGGTCCATTAAACTAAATTGAAACCTAGAAGACTTAGAAACCATGATTTATCTTTTGATAAAATACAGAAATCTGTTTGTATCTCATTTGGACTTCACATAATTCTCCCAAATCAGCTGTTGATCAGAAAGTTTATGTGCAGGTGCTCAAAAAAACGGTCGGCCATAGAGGATGTAAATGCCAAACTAGACACGACTACCCGTGAGCCATTGCGCCATGAAGAAAAGAGGTTAGTCTTGCCTGTTTACTGCCTGCATTCAGCTAATGCAATTGTCTCCAACCGGAACATAACAGCCTTTTAATATTTGCAGAAAGTCTCAAAGGAGAAAATCTGCAAGACTGAATTCAGTATCTTCTGAGGACACGGATATCACTGTTGAGACTGAGCACAAAGATGTAGCTTCTTTAGCCGGTTCCAGTTCAAATGCCTCGATGGAGCAGAGGACAAATCAAGAGCAGAATGATGGTTGTTCCTCGAGGAAATCTAATGTAGAGCAGATATCAGGGAGGAGGTCTCTAAGGCGAGCTGCTGAAAAGGTTGTCTCATACAAGGAGGTACCCTTGAATGTTAAGATGCGGCGACCTTAACTACCAGGAGGATGGTAGCTTGCTGTCTTGACTAGCCTTAGCAGGTACCCTCCAGTTTTTTTGTGTGCCCCAGAATCAGTGATTGCTTGGACATCTCGTTCTGCTTCAAACAAACCACCAAAACCTGTATCCACCTTGTCAATGTGGCTGCAGCCAGTGTTGTGACCTTGGAGCGGTGTAGCTAGCACTAGTGGAGATATACCATTCTCCTTTCCTAAAATATGTTGTCTTGCTCACTGTTGTTCTTGCTAACTCGATGTAGTATGATTTCTGAACAATTGCCATTGTACATGCTGAACTTGCTCTTAATTTGGCAAGCTTTTGGTATGCTGTACCCCTCAAACTTATTTTGTTTGTGTGACATTGGTATAGAGGCTAGGTACCAGATCCTCCCATTCATGGATGGTTTGTCCTTGCTGAGAATTGATAACCTCTGGGTTTTTTGTGTTTGGCACGTACATTTTCCTCCTTTCAGTTATTCTCGCTTCCTAAAAAGTTAACAACTTTTAACTTTGACCAAATATATTTAACAAAATATTAATATTTATGGTACATAATTAGTACCGTTAGGTAGATTGTTGAATATACTTTCATAATAAACTTATTTGGAGATATAAATGTTGCACATATTTTATACAAACCTAGTTAAAGTTGAGAAAGTTTGATCAGCATAATTATCATAGCGACTCTTTTTTAAGGGACGGAGCGAGTAGCCTTAATGCCTACATACAATGCAACGTGTTCTTTGTGAATTTTTTAGCTAATGATGAATGCAACCTATCATTTGCTGCTTTTTGAAGGTGATTGAATCCTCATACAGTTTGCATGAGGACCCCTAAAACCTCACTCCCCCTGTAACGCTGCAAAAGTTGTATCTGATCATGTTCGTTCATATAGGTCTGTACAACTAACCATCTCTTCCTGTCCATCTGTTTGCATCTTCTAAGTGATCAATTGCTTGGAGGACATGGCTGTGGAGCAACAGTACAGTACCCGATTTCCTCCATTCCGCGTTCTGAAACAAGTGCTCTTGGCATCACCATTGCCGCCCTTGACAATCAGCTTGACGTTGTCAAAAGCAAAGCAAAGCTATGCCATGGCATCAAGGCACGTACTCAGCATGACAGCGTATGTCGATGCACTTGTGCCCTCTTATGTTCTTGAACAGCACACATTGCTCACCTCTACCGCGGATTTCTGCAAGAACAACAAAATTGGTAAGTCAAGCATGCTCTGCAGTCTGCACATTTAACTTGAAAGGACCAATTTTCTTTTACTCTATCTAAAACTAGTTCCTGTTTCGTGCAATAGCTCTGGTCGACGATGATCAGGTTGCCATGTCTTGATGCGAGCGAGCGAGCTCTGTTTTCTCGTCGTTCCATGCGGAATCAGGGTTTCCGTATATTACGCACCAGCAACAGAAAAAAACCGTTTATTGGATTGATTGACTCGCTATAAAGTCCTCTCCAACCCAAAATCTGTAATCTGTATTCGCGACAAAAACATCTGTGTGCATGGGTAATCACCTAGCACCGGCATCGCGGTACCCAGAAACCAGTCCGGATCCAGCAGCCAACAACGGAGGCGACAGCAGCAGCGCGTCGTCGTCCAGCGGCCCTGCCACAAGACGTCCTCTTCGACATCCTGCTGCGCGCGCGCCTCCCAGCCAAGCAGCTCTGCCGTCTCCGCGCCGTCCACCGGTCGTGGCGCTCCGTGTTAAAACTGCAGGATCATCTAGGAGTAGATCTAACGGGTGAAACTTTTCTATTCAAGATATAACACATAGATCCGTTATAGAACATGAACTAGAGAGTGGAGAGACGATGAGAGAGGGGAGGTGTTACCGATCATCAGTGGGCTTCGTGGAGGAGCTGGCCATGGCGTCGGTGTTGATGACGCGGGTGTCCGTGTAGGGGCAGCAGTGGAGTCCGGCGGCGGTGTCGAAGTTGGACGCAGTGCAGTGGAGGCGCGATCCAGTGGCAGCGGCGAAGGCAGTGGCGTTTCCCGTCGCTCACAGCGCTGCCCTTTCGATCGAACTAGGGTTAGAATGTCGGTAGGGAGTTGACGGCTGCGGTGAACCTCGTACCTTGCGCCTCGACCCCTACTTTCCTCTTTATAGCGCTGCGCGACGGGGGCCCACTAACCATGATTGGGTTGGGCGCCCCGATCAGGGCGTAGATCAAAGGCCCAAATTGGTCGTTGGGCCAACTTGGTGGAGATCAATCTAACATTCTCCCCATTAATCTCACCTTATGACTTAAACTTAAAATACTTATCTCTTTTCCCATTTTATCACAGATTAGCGCATAGAGCGTGCCTCATCACAACGGTTAATACCATTGAATTAACAGCTACAATACACTTCTCTGTTTGAAATAGATTCTCAATTGGGCCCTTATTGTCTAGGAATCATAGGCCAGATTCTCAACTGGGCCCTTATTATCCAGAAATCATAGGCTTTCCCGTAAACCCATACCAGCTAAGTGTTCTCTGAACACATTGGTGGTAAGCCTTTTATAAGCGGATCCGCAAGCATCTTCTCTATGCTTACATGCTCAAGACTAATAGCATGATCCTGGACTTTGTCTTTCACAACATAGAACTTTATGTTAATATGTTTGGCAGCATTACTTGACCTATTGTTGTGAGCATAAGTTACTGCTGGTTCATTGTCGCAGTATAACTTGAGTGGTCTATGGATGTCATCAACCACTTGCAACCCATGCATAATTTTTTAGCCAGTTCACTTGTCCCGTGGCCTCATAACAAGCTACAAACTCGGCATACATCGTGGACGATGCAGTGACAGTTTGCTTGGAGCTTTTCCACGATATTGTTCCTCCTGCGAGAGTAAATACATAGCCTGATGTGGATTTTCTATCATCTATATCTCCCGTAAAATCTGAATCTGAATACCCCTCTATATGGAGGGAATCAGATCTTCTGTACGTTAGCATGAGATCTTTTGTACCTTACAAATAACGCAAAGCTTTCTTTACCATTCTCTAGTGTTCTATTCCTGGATTACTCTAATATCTACCAAGTATCTTGGTAATAAAAGTTAAGTCAGGGCGTGTACATACTTGAGCATAATGCAAGCTTCCGATAGCCGAAGCATATGAAACCGCTTTCATTCGATCGATCTCATATTGGTTTCTAGGGCATTGGAATTCCTCAAAACTATCGCCCTTGACTATAGGAGCAGGTGAAGACTTACACACATGCATACTGTATTTCTTTAGAACCTTTTCTAAGTATGCCTTTTGCGATAATCCTAAAACCCCCTTTCTTCTATCTAGGTGAATCTCTATTCCTAAAACAAACGAAGCTTCACCAAGACCTTTCATGTCAAAATTTGAGGACAAGAACTTCTTCCACCCTGTTCGCTTGATCGTATCAGCTATGCTTATCAGCCATGATACAGTATTTTTTTCTCACAACAAAACAGCATCAGCTAGCTTATAAGCCACAAAAACGATCAAGCGAACAGGGTGTTCATCTCTAATAGTAGATTAACATCACTACTAGCAAGTAAAATGTCATCCACATACAGGATTAGGAAAATGAATTTCTCATTCTTGAACTTTGTATAAACGTAATTGTCCTCCACATTCTCTTTAAACCCAAACTTCCTTATCGTTCCATCAAACTTTAAATACCACTGTCTAGAGGTTTGTTTTAATCCATAAATGGATTTCTTCAGGCGGCATCCCATACGTTCTTTTCCTTTTACGACAAAACCTTTTGGTTGTGCCATATAAATATTTTCATCTAGATCCCCGTTAAGGAAAGCCATCTTTACATCCATCTGATGCAATTCTAAATCGTAGTGCGCCACTAACACCATTATGATTCTAAAAGACTAGATGAAAATGTTTAGAATAGAGATAAATTCTAAATCATAGTGCACCACTCCCGCGTCTGTTCGCACATTCTCACACTGCCTGCACGCCATGACCTGACGCGCTGCTCTTATGACCGAACGCTCCAGCAATGTGGAGTCCGGTCGACTCCAGTAAGCATCCAGAGAGGAAAAACCATGACCGGACGCGTCAGGTCACGCATGACCGGGAGCAGACCCGAGTCCGGTCCTCTCTGGCCTCACGCACAAGCCTACGTCAGACGTCATCCTTCACCGGATGCACCCCCTGCGCGTCCGGTCACCTTTTACCTTCTGCGTCTGGTGCAACACCCTAGCGTCGCTGCCTCTGCTAGTACTGACCAGACACGCCTACCGAGTCGGTCACTGTCACTGCAGCATCCGGTCACCTCAGGACAGCTCCACCACTTCACCAAGTTCGCCAGCCTTGCTCAAATGTACCAACCACTAAGTGTATCACCTTGTGCATGTGTGTTAGCATATTTTCACAAACATTTTCAATGGTGTTAGCTCTCCACTAGATCCTAATGTATATGCAATGAGTTAGAGCATCTAGTGGTACTTTGACAACCGCATTTCACGACGAGTTTCACCTCCCTTAATAGTACAACTATCAATCCTAAATATGATCACACCCACTAGGTGTCTTGACCACCAAAACAAAATGCTCCTATCACTTATACCTTTGCCTTGAACTTTTTGTTTTTGTTTTTCTTCTTTTCCAAGCCCGAGCATTTGATCACCATGGTCACACCACCATCTTGATCAATTCCATCTTGCTCCACCACTTAGAATGTGCTACCCTATCTCATGATCACTTAGAACAAAGGGTTAGCAACTAGGGTTTCATCAATTCACCAAAACCAAACTAGAGCTTTCAATCTCCCCATTTTTAGTAATTGATGACAACCCTTTCTCAAAGATATGAAATAAAATCATTTTGAGTTCATGTTGCTTGCCTAAGCATTTTTACCATTTGTAAAGGATTTGGACAAGTTTTATGAACCCGAATTGGTAGCATTGCTCCCTCTACATATGTGCTAAGAGTTTGGATAGAAAGCTTGCACATAGGAAACATAGGATGCAATGACTAACAAATGATGCTAAGGTATAAGAGATGGACCTTTAAAGCGTGATACCAATTGGAGTGCACCAAATATACCATCCTTAACACCATTAGTAACTAGACATTCACAAAAACTAGAATACCCCGTGAGATCAACATTAGAAGCAAGGGTCTAGCTTTCACAAGAGAAGACCAAGTCTAGTTACCAAACCTATGCATGCTACTTTTTAATTTCATCATTCAAACCTGCAACTAGCATACACCACACAAGCATGTATCTTGAATTTAAGCTTGACAAATGCAAGCATACACATGAGAATGCACATTCAAATGCATCATGCAAGTCCATGAGCTTGCTCCCCTTACTTGTGTGCTTAAATTTTAATTGATCCTCTTCCTTTGTCATTTCTCTCCTATGTCTATTTTCTCCCCCTATCACTTCTATCTTTGTTTCTCTCTCCCTTTGTCATCAATGACCATAAATGTTCAATTTTAGATAGGTTAAGATTATCAATGTCAATCAATGGGGTGAGGATCATTTTCTCAAAATTTGGTTCAATCTAGAACACTTGCCAAAGATATTTAACTCGATTTGATCAAGGACAAGCTTCTTCACACCTCCAAATAAGGATTATCTTGTACCATGTTTAGTTAAACACTTATAACTCATTTTCTAGATCAAACCTAGGTTTACAAGCCCACAAACATGTCATATGCTACCACTAGATCAAGTCAAGCATAGAAGCAATAGTGATACCATACAAGCATCAAATTCATTTGATTTTCATGAATGAGCATATAAAATATGAGGAGTGATTAGATGCACTAAAACATGTCCTTAGCAAAGGATGGATGTATGCCAATCAACTTTTACCTTGGATTGCTCGAAGGAGATGCATATCATATAAGTGGGGGTGCATCAACACATATTTGAGAAATCTAATGTGTTCAACTCATTCCTTAGCTTGCAAAACATTTTCTCATCCAGTGGCTTGGTGAATATGTCGGCAAGTTGATCTTCGGTGCCCACACTCTCAATGCAAATGTCCCCTTTTTGTTGATGATCTCTAATGAAGTGGTGGTGGACATCAATGTGCTTTGTTCTTGCATGTTGAACCGGGTTGTTGGTGAGCTTGATAGCACTCTCATTGTCACATAGCAATGGCACATTCTTGAACTTGATTCCAAAGTCATTCAAAGTGGCCTTCATCCAAAGAATTTGTGCACAACAACTACCGGTGGCTATGTATTCGGCTTCGGCGGTTGAAAGTGCAACACTATTTTACTTTTTTGATGACCAAGAGACAAATGATCTTCCAAGTAGTTGACATGTGCCAAACGTGCTTTTTCTCTTAACTTTGCACCCCGCATAATCCGAGTCAGAATAATCAACTAGCTCA